AGGAAGTGAGGAGGAGAGAAGGGGGAGAAAGGAGAGAAGGAGGAGAGGAGGAGAGAGAAGAGGAGGAGGAGAAGAGAAGAGGAGAAGAGGAGGAGGAAGGGAGAGAGGAGGAGATAGGAAGGGAGCAGGAAGAGAGGAGGGAAGAGGAGGAGGAGAGAAGCGAGGAGATGGAAGAAGGAGGGGAGGAGTGAGGAGAAGAGAGCGAGGAGAGCGGAAGGAGAAGGGAGCGGAGGAAAGGAGGAGAGAGGAGAAGGAGAAGGAGGAGGAGGAGGGAGAAGGAGGAGGGTTGAGAAGGAGAAGGAGGAGGGAGGAGGAGGAGAAGGAGGAGGGGAGAAGGATGAAGGAGAAGGGAGAAGGCAGGAGGAGAGGCAGGAGGAGGAGGAGGAGCGCAGGAGGAGGAGGAGGAGGAGGAGGAGGAGGAGGAGGAGGAGGAGCGAGGAGGAGGAGGAGGAGGAGGAGGAGGAGGAGGAGGAGGAGGAGGAGAAGGAGGAGGAGGAGGAGAGTGCATTACATGAGAGGCGAAGCCGAAGGGTGCAGGGCACTCACCCCGTAGCCGACGCTGTGCGTGGTGCCTGCGGGGGCCAGGTCGTGCGCTGCCTTGCTGTCCGCGGCGGCGGCGCCCGGCTCCTCCCTGCGGGCACAAGACAGGTGTTGCGTCACCCGCGCGGGAGCGCATTTACAGCCAACACGCGTGAGGCGCATGCGCGCGCAAGCAACTCTTGTGTGTATGATGAACGTCGCTCGCTGCTCCCATCTGTTTTTGCTTCTGGGCAACAACGAGCTCGCTGAGCGCGATGACGTTTCAAAGAAGGAGCCACGACTCGCGTCTCGGCTTGGGATGGGAGCCACGAGGATCCTTCTTAGTTTTATAACAACATGAAGTATACAAATTGTGAAACCGGTAGTAGGTATTTATCTAATGCCTCATGTATGCAAACACACTACGTTTTATTCTTAAATCCTACACTTGCATGCATCGTTCAACACCAACATTTGAAATGGATGGTTACAGTTCATCGATTTTACATGATCCATTGAACAAACGTTGAGATATTGCATTCATTTTGAGGAATAAAACTAGTTTTCCTCCTTCCCAAACGTCGCATAGTTTGACTTTTTAAATTTTTTAAAAAATGCTTTTAACAGAAAACATTTTATAGTTCTTTGTTCTCGCTTTTTTTTTTTTGAATTTTTAGTTTTTTTCATAATAACAAATAACTACAATTAATTATAGCTGTTTGTAATAGAATTAATTGCGTACACATACCAGGCAGTCACATTCAGTCTGTTCTACTTAAACTGACCAACTTCTCGATACAACTCCATTCCAGAAGTGTTTATTTTGTTAGCCGTTGAATCCGTTTTATTTTGTGAAAAAAGTTGCATAACGACTATAAAATCGCTCTCTGAAGATGCGCAAACCTGACGGTTCAAAGTGAATGCGACGCTCCTTCGCCTGCGATTTTCGCCAGAGGCGGATGCCGGCGGCGAGAGAAATTTGACTTTCGCTCGCCCTCAGCTCGGGCGGTGTTCGCAAGTCCAGTCGGCAGCGCTCGCCGCCCTCCCGGAAGACTCCCGAGGTGCCTCTGTCGCAGCGCGGCGCGGCTGTCCGAGTCTTCGCCTTCACGTGCGGGTGAATAAACGGATGGGTTTGCATGAAACAAGTCATGTATTTTGTCTTTTCAGTTCCCTTTGGGAACGTTGACGATGAAGCGGATAGAACCCATCCTCGACATTTAAGGGTAACTGTGAAATAATGATTACATTGAATACGAGTGTGTGTGTGTGTGTGTGTGTGTGTGTGTGTGTGTGTGTGTGTGTGTGTGTGCGCGTGCTTGTGTTGGATTTCTTCTCACCATATCGCCCTCCTGATTCTCATGTCGGGTTGGTAGGTGTGTTGTATGGCTTATTTCTTCCATATGGGGACGAGTATTTTGTATTTGATACGACTCAGTCACAAAGAAAACGTTCATGACTGAGGATTCGTGGAGGTAGCTGATTGCCAATTGTCTCCACAAGCATCTGCACCACATATGATCATTGTCTTCTGGGAGTTCCTAAATAATTAACAACGTGATCTTTCAACCTATCGTAGCAATCGTCGAAATTAGTGTCTTTTGGAGTTTTGATATTTTAAAAGTAAATCAAATAAACATTGTCGTAGAAGAAGTCTTGGTACCTTCGATCAAGATCACATCACGAATGAAACTAGTGGTGCTACAGAATGGCACAGACTTTTTCGTATTAGTTTTGTATTACCTTTGATCTGTGCTAGCTATTCAGATTTGCTCCATACTTTGAAGTGTTTTGAATCACCTCCACTCACAAATGCAATAATGTACACAAATTGCTGGATTGTGCATATTATTGAAATATAAATTGAAATATATTGTGAGAAATAAAATAGAAAAAAATACATTTCTGAATTTTGTGAAAAAATAAAAGAATAGAGCCAAACTGATAGAATACATATCATGGAATTCACTATTCGTACTAAAAATTTATAGACAAATTTTGGAGCGGTTTTTGAGAAAATCTTGTTTTTGTTATTTTTTTAAATTTCTTATCTTGCACGCAATACAGCGCGAAGACTACTAAATTCAAAAAAGTTACATGTCTTTAATTAAATATCTAATTATAGACAGCGACTTGCATTTAAAAGAAAAATCTACTTCCAATTTTGTAAGTGTAGGAAAATGCCGAAAAATATTCAAACTTTTGCAATTATCGAAAATTCAAAGTTAACAGTAAAACTCTGACCTATGCTGTCTTTATACGTGTATTTTACTCTATTCATATAAGAAATTTAAAACAAAAATGTGCAGCCATTTTTGAGAAATGTTTGAAATGTCCGTGGGGCTTCATGTAAAGTTCCCCCGAAATTCATGAATTCGATTCAAATCAAAGTGCTTTGACTCAGGCCAAATGGAAAGGGGTATATTCAGTTTGGAAAAAATCGTTCTCATAGTTTAGGCCCTAGTGTTGTTCACATTCACCAGATAAGATGGACGAACGGACGTTTTGCCGTTAATCGATTTTTCGGTATAAAGCACCCACAAAACAGGGATTCTAGCTATATTTTAGATATATTAGATGATTTTGTTTTCTTTATTTGGGAACTGAAGTTATCAATTTTTTCCATTTTAGGACTCGGCAATTATTTTTCCTGCCGAACATCCGCCGGTTTTTTTTTTTTTTTTTTTTTTTTTTTTTTTTTTTTTTTTTTTTTTTTTTGCTCTGCATTACATACCTTTCTCTATACTACGTTTATTCCTCCGTATGAACGTAAGTATACGAGAAAGTAAAAATGATGTTCACCAAACTCCCATCATCTGTCAATCGCAGTTAGTGAGTGTCGTTTAGAGGTTGTTGGACGTATTTTACGCATTCACGCACAAAGATGACTGTCCCGTTGCATATGTGAATTAAGGCGCAACTACGAGAGGTAGAAAACATTTTGTTGTTAAGTTTGTTTTAGTGAGGTATTGATGAAGAAAGTTTATGATAAATAACTTTTAAATTTGAAAATTCGCCAGTCACAGCATTCTCCATCAATCACTGTTTACAGTTTCGTGAATTGCAAGGTCACTATCACCTGTCCTATCACGATACGTAGTCCTTTCATGATACAATGAGTTTAACGATCATTCATGAGTGAATATCTCAGTTTAGAGATGATCAGTTTCCAGACTTACAGAGATTAATGCAAAAAGAAGCTGTAAGGTCATGCGTGTTTTAAATGTTCAGCAATGCTTTTTGTCGTGTAATACGTTTTCTTTTCCAGGGCTCAATACGAACGAAAAGTTGATGATCGCTTCTTCCACGCTCTCTTTATTCTTCAAAACGTTTTCGTAAATCGACAAATTCCATTACTTTTATTATTGAATTATGTTGGCAAAATACACTTACTGTTGTTTTGCATGTGAAAGTTCTTTAAAAGAAAATCTAGAAATTACCCTAGAGTAATAGAACTTACTTGCAGATGTGAAATTTGTAGAGATATTGCAAAAATATTAGTAGTAAATTTTCATTCAAAATATCAACTTTTAAAGCGAGAGAGATGTTTCTACTGTGGTCGGATGAGAGAAATGAGGGTAATAATGGCGATGTTGCAGATCTGGCTGCAGGAAGAGGAGGAGGAGGAGGAGGGTGCGGCCAAGGTCGGCGCGCGGTCGCTGACCGCTGGCGGCGCGAGGGGCTTTCGCTGGCGGCGCGCGCGCCTGCACCTGACCCCGTTGCGGCTCGGATCTCGGCCGCAGACCGGCCCCGCGCCCCGCCCCGCCCCGCTCTCTCTCCGCCCCGCCGCGGGGCACGCTGCGCTCCCGCTCGCCGGCCGACGTAGGAGCAAGTGGCGACACCATTAGCGATTCTGATAACAGCCGAAATAAGTCTACTCTTCTAGCACCTAAAGTATCGTATCCTCCTTAGTCATGCTACAAATCACGAATGCATTCATACCGACGTCACGTACAGAAGTAGCTCAAGGAACCATTATTAACAAATATTAGGTATTGCAACCCTTAGGCATCTCCACGTTTGTGAAGGGCAAGGTTCTAATACGCAAAATTAAAGAAAATAAGTTGTTGTGAGACAAGGTTCTCTCTGGCTACTGCTACAAGTAGAGAATACTTGTGCTGCAACCTGGAGACAAATAGCTTCCGTAAAAAATCATTTCTGTAGGTACAGAGATGATTGAATAAATGATGTTAACGAAATGATGACATCATTACTCAAAACGATTGCTATGTTAGAAGGAACATAGTAATACTAGAGTCGACACCTGAACAATAGTCCTTCGCTTGTGATGACGGCTGGACTGATTTGCAAATTGATGAACAGTCATTGCATTGTGGATTGTGATCTGCAATCAGGCAACAAATCGCATGAAGTGTCGCAATAGAAACACCCATGCTCTTCACTACATCCGCACCCATTGCCCATGAATTTGGTTCGTTTAGCTGGCGGCGCAGTCCACTATTACGATCGGCGCTGTGAAATCTTTCACGACCTTTTCAACAATTTCTGAATAATGACATTAATACTGTTCTGTATACACAAAGGATTTGATAGATACTGGAAACTAAATGCATAATTTAACTTTTACATTACGAAATAAAATATGTAAAATATATATACTCTAAAAATGAACGACCAACAAATACCACATTTCAAAATAGTTAAATACTCGTACCTTTGCATTCATCACAACCATAAATTAACAATGAGAACTCAAAGGTAATAGCAGAGGAGCTAAGCGTGGAACCCCTACTGTATTATTGAGAGGATTGGCAATCAACCTTTTACTAACCTCTACGTAATAATATTGTAGGTGCTTCTGAGTGGATCTCTGAACTGCAACTTCATGGAACATGTGTTCTAGCTATCCAAACCCTGAAATAAACAGTGATTCGGGGCAAAAGCCTTATAACGAATAGTACCTGGTACATTTCTGAAAATTTTTTCACTTCATCTTCTAGATTCTTTCCATCTATCAATCACAAAATACAGCGAAAAGTATGAAACGGACACGAAAGTTGAAAACCGGGTTGTTTTAGCTATCTTGTAGTGAGGAATGAAACACCACTATAAAGCCGTGTAAAAATTGTAATCGACTCAAAACGCTATGACCTTGCATTCTTAAATACAAATTATCTGTAATTGAGAAATTAGGACATCCATCTGTCAAATATCATTTCTTTTTG